AGAAAACATAGCTACCCATGGACTCTCAAAATCAATATTATGATGCTATGATTACATCATAAATCCAATTGCCATTGTAACAAAGTTAAATAGAAACTAAAGATACAGAATACTAATTTAAGATTTTGTGAACCTAAAAGAAATGAGAAATTAGTACGATTATATGTGAGAAAACATAGCTACCCATGGACTCTCAAAATCAATATTATAATGCTATGATTACATCACAAATCGATCGCCGTCGTAACGATACCCGGAGGTTGTAGAAATACAAAACTAAGGCGACCAGATTCAGCTCGTCGAGGGCTTCAAAATAAGCTAAATTTGATAGAAATTGTATCACAGGAACGGAGGTTAGCATTGAGAGTAGGATAATTACTGTACATATCATCATATGATTACCACTTCGCAAAATACTTTTAAATTATTATGTAAGAAAGTTTTACTCGTATTAATCAGTGCTGATACATGATAAGTCTTTAGCAATTGTTTGATAATAGTGTCTTTTGCAATTAGAATAAGATTTTAAAGAAAAATAAAGTTTATAATAAAGTATAAATTACTTAGCTATTTTCTTTTAAAAAAAACTTTTTATATATAAACTCCTAAATAAATTTTTTTTTTAATATTAAATACAAAAAATTCTTCGCTATGAAAATCAGAAATACTAATTAAATAACTTTTTAATTTAAATAGCTATTGAAGACCAATTGGAAAAATCTTTGAGATCTTCTTAAATAATATGAATTTATACTTCAAAAACAAGAAAAAATGGAAATGATGATCAACTATCATCGCAAATTAAAGATATTGAAGAAAATAAAAATCTGGATGGAGGTAAGTATATATTATTTTAATATTAAATTAAACAATTTTATTTATTTATTTATTTATAGAATTTTATAGCAGATATTTCTTTTATATTTATGTAGCGTAAAATTATCATGAAATTATTCTAATATTTAAAAATCTTAATTCTTATTAAATAAAAAATAGATTGATTTTATTTATTTGAAATATGAATTACAAAATATTTTAATTTACAAACAAAATCTATATGAAATCAAACTATATAAGCATAAACATGCTCTTACAGTATCTCCAGATAAACGATTTCGCGATTTACATAAAATATGGCCAGCAATTGAGAAAAGTTGTTCACATGGAACTGAACTTGCTTGAATACATAAATATTCATGTGCAAGTTTTGATAAATTAGGATATTCAGTAGAATGAGTTTTCCACCAATCTAAAGGTTCTACATCTTCTTCAGCTTCAGCAGAAATCCAATATTTATGAACTTCATCATCCTCATTTATTATAACAGAAGTTGTTCCTTTTAACTTCTTTAAAAAGCTAGAAACTTTTTTTGTTGAAATAATAGGAACTCCTTGTTGTTGTTGTTGCTCTAATAGACTTCTAATTGGTAATTGTATTTCATAACTTATCATTTCTGGAAAACAATATTTTTTATATCTTGGATCTAAAAAGGCCGCAATATGTGAAGTTTCTTCTAATTTGTCATAATATTCATTAAATTTTACTAACATTGTTTTGACTACATCATTTAATAAATAATCATTATCATAATTAATTTCTAAATCTTTTTTAATAGCTAATAATATTACTCTTGAATGTGCAATAGTAGGATATTTTTGTGATGAAAGTTCAATGGTTGCTTCATTAAATTGATATAAAAATTGGTCTAAATCACTAAATAATTCCCATTCATATTCACTT